AAATGCCCGCTTGGCCAAATAAGATATAAAAAACGATATACTTCTGCTTCTATAGAAAAATGCTTTATGATAATGCCCATGCGCCCCACTTCAACTTATTGACTGTTCTTTGCTTGTCTAGTAACTCAACTGGTTTATATAAATTCTATATTTCCAGTTCCCTCGCAAGCCCCTACTAGTTTTAATGTGTCCGCGTGCACCTCTACCAGTATCGATGCCTCTTGGAATCTGCCGCCAGCGATCTCAAGAAACGGCATTATCACTGGATTTAAACTTTTCTATAAAAGAAAAGAATTTCATGAACCACCGACCATCATAAAAATTAGCAATGCAGTAATTCACACTAAGACTGTAACAGGTCTTGATAAATACGTAGTGTATGAGTTTCAAGTGTTAGCCTTCAACTCAGCTGGTGACGGCCCTAAAAGCTTTGTCATAGTTCAGAGAACAAGAGAAGATGGTAAGTTGTGAACATAAACAAGGAATTGATTGTTTTCAGTGGCGGATCCAGGGGAGGGACCCGGGGGCACTCCCACCACCCCCCCCCCCCCTCGCCCCCCTATTCTTAGACCAAACTGAGGCTCGAACGGCCGAAAAAATGTTTTTTGAGACCTGACCACCCCCTTATCTCAGGNGGTCCTGGACTCCCCCCCCCCCCCCCGCCTCTATCTGCAGGTCTGCAGCCGCCTCTGGTTTTGATCTCTTTTATTAAAAGAAAGCTATCCACCTCCTTCATGGAGTCGCAAAGAACGAAATTGAGAACGCCTTGTAACATCAACATTACAAATAAACGTAAATAACATGAAAGCTGAGGCTATATCTTTTACTTTTTAACGATCAATCTTCAGCAAAAACATGCGGACTCATTGTCGCCAATTTGCAAAGGCGTTCAGTTTAGAGCAATTGTTATGAAAAGGAAGGAAATTAGTTTATACATAATTGCTAACTAGTTATATTTTTATTGCCATTAATTCTGTCGGATCGGCACAAAAAGTGTGACAACGAAAACCCCACTATCCTGGATAGAGAGAGCACTTAAATACCATTTTCGTTTTTTGCAATTTCGCTGTCAAAATGGTTTGGAACAAAAACATTACTGAAAAATTAATCGCCTAATGACTTAAAAAATGCTCCTTTGCATGAATTTCCTTTCCCTGAAATTGTTCATTATTCAGTGTTATGAATTAATTAAGAAAAGAAAACTATAACATCTATTCAGTATTTGGCCTCAAACTTGTAAATTGCCTTGACACTTAAGAGGTTCATGCTGATTGTTTCTCCATAATTTAGCTCCTTCCCAAGCTCCCAGCAACTTTACTGTGATTGCACAATCATCTTCCAGTATCCTCGCATCCTGGCAATTGCCACCACTAAAATCCAGAAATGGAATCATCACAGGCTTCAAACTGTTTTACAAAAGGCAAGATCAATTCCGCGAGGCCAATATTACGATAAACATAAACAGTGCTACAACTCGCAGGGAAATTATATCAAGACTTGAAAAATATTCAGAATATGTGCTTCAAATCCTGGCCTTCACTTCCGCTGGCGACGGACCAAGGAGTTCTAAAAAAGTTACGAGAACTAAGGAAGGTGGTAAGTGTTGATTGCGTTTAGTTGAGTTAATCGGAATACTTCGACTAAGTTGTTAGCCGCAAAACAATTTCTTTCGGGAAATCATTTGGAGTTTGGAGTTAGAGCTCTCTGATAAAATCTTCATAAATATACAAGAGCAATTTGTGTGTAATTAAAGGGCTTAGTAATGAATTTTGCGCAGAATTTATCGAAAACAGCAATATCCTCGTGACATAGCTCTTTTGACAATAATGTACCAGTCAATTCCACCTGCGCCCAGCACCCCCCGGGCTGACCCCCGGGCATTAGCATTTTTTTTGCCTTGGATGGCAAATTCCCGGGGGTGGGGACTCTTGAGCTGTCAAATCCCTCGGCGTGGGGACGGAAAAAGAGGGCAAATGCCCCGTCCTCCGTCAACGCTGCAACATTTTTCATTGATCGCACAGTCGAATGGTGCCATTTTAAGCATTTTAATGTGCGACTTTTTGTTTCAATTAACGTCTTTCTTTGTAATAGCGCTAGGATTCTAACTAAGACTTCACGCCGCGACGACATGCACCAGTGTATGGTTTTAGTATTGATATAAAATTATTGAAATTAAAATTAATAGAGCGCTGTAAAGTTATATGTTATGAATAGTTTTATAAATGTGAAAGGATGTTCTTCAAATAATATGAACAGAAATTTGATACAATGACCAAAAAACGTTGATTCACATCGATAGCTCCAATTTCGCTATGTAATTCTGGCTTGATAAGCAATGAAGAAACGCATGCATAAAATCGAGAACATGCATTTACAACCCTCTTCAGTTTATTCCTGTCCTTGATAGATGATCTGCGTTTTTTCCAGTAAACCCTTCTGTGTAGTTATATTCTGATAGGAAACCGCGTGCGTGTCAAAACCTTGGGAATGGCCCCGGGGTTGGCGAATGCCCCACACCCGGGACTGACAAGGCGTGCAAATGCCCCGCAGTAGCCCGGGGGGGGGGGGGGGCCGGGGGGGGGGGGGGGCCTGGGCGCAGGTGGAATTGACTGATGCATAAAGTTTGATGGGATCCATTATTCCACTCCCATTGCCGTCCCATTATTCCATTATCGTAAGGTTTATGACCAGTTAATACGGCATTTTGTAGATCCACCAATTGTGCTAAAACTTCAAGAGAAGACCATTGTAATGGTTGGTGATTTGGCATTGCTTACTTGTGAGGTCAGCGGAGTTCCAGAGCCCTTAGTTATATGGAGCAAGGATGGAGACAATGATATAACACGAGCGCGGCTGAAGAATAATGGACGCGTTCTTGTTATAGAAGATGTGATTTCTGGTGATAGAGGTGTATATGAATGCAAAGCATCTAACAAGTTTGGAGAAAACCGAACGGCTACTACTGTTATAGTTGCTGGTAAGGTTTCGAAAATGTACTGCTGATGACACTTACTTTTAGCAACCAAAAACACAAAGCCTACTCTTCTCGTATAACAAAACTACTGGTAATAAGGGTTAGGGGGTATGGACCAGATCGATCAATAGTCCAGTTTCGAATTCAAAATTACCGCCGAATATAAACATTAACGACACATTCATACAGGGTTAGCCTCTACATAAAGTAAAATATTCAGAAATTTTAGTAAGCAAGTGTTTGAAATTTGAATATACACAATAGACAGAGTAATAAACAGGTCTTTTTCTCGTTGGAATTTGTGAATATATTACTTCAGATTGAGGCTAAGGCTGTAAAAAAAGCTTCCTCGCTTCTTTAATAGCCCATTTTCGAGTTCGCTATGACCGCTGAAAATTTTTTCACTTCTGCGTAAAAAATGTCGGAATCGGAGGTAGACTTCATTATATAAGTGTTTAAGGTTGCTCTTTTTCTGTACAAATAATGAGACTCTATTGTGTATATTCAAATTTCAAACACATGCTTTCCAGAATTTCTGAATATTTTACTTTACGTCGAGGCTAACCCTGTATGAATGTGTCGTTAATGTTTATATTCAGCGGTAATTTTCAATTCGAAACTGGACTATTCAGCGGTCATAGCGAACTCGAGAATGGACTATTAAAGGTCTATACTCTCTTTCTCCAAACGCTCCTATGCTCTTTCTCCCACGCTGTGCCTTCCGTAAGTTTCACATGATGGAAGGTTAAAAGGTTTGTGCTCAGACTGGGAGTGATATAAGGTCCAAGCGCGTGTGATTAGATTGTATTCATTCTTAGGGAAAGTCCAAACCGTAAACCAATGCTGGTTCCTCTGGTCGAGCGCGATAAAAGCTTTATAAAGAAGCAAGGGCGACGCAGCTTGACCCTCCCATCAATGGGACGCAAATTCAAATCCCAGGGGCCAAGCCATATGTTGGTTGGACGCTTCGTTTACCTTTTATCTTGTCTCGAGATGTTTTGCCTGGGTACTCCGACGGTTCCCCCGCCCATTCCATTTCACGTTCCAATAAGATCGAATTGTAGCGCATAAAGGACCACTTCATTCCCCCATCTTATTTAGTCATTTACTTAGTTAGTTGGTTACAAGATACTCAGAGTATCCGCGAAATTACTAAACAATCCTAACGAGACGGTTTAGAACCTGATACTTCAGTAGATTTTTTTCATTGTGTCCTTTCAACTTTCGGATTGTCTTCCTTGCGAACCGAGGCGAGTTTTTCAGTTTTAGTATTTGTTGTTGTTGTTGTTTTTGTTGTTACTACTTTTGCATTTGCCGACCTCGTCTTTGCTTTTATCTTTGATGAAGTGTTACTATGTAATTCAAGGCATAGTTTTCACTTAAGGTAAAATCAACAAGCAGAAGAAGGAGTGTTGCACGGATATTCAAACAGGAAAAAGTAATATATCAAACACTAGAAAGAGTGTTTGAATTGTTTAATCACATATCCGAACACCAGGAGGTATTTTATCACCAACGATGGGAGAGAGTGTGGTTCATCTGATATCGACAAGTACCGATAAGTCATATATCAAACATTTAATGAGGTGATCTATTAATACAAGAAAGGGTTTTCATCCAGGACCCCAAATTAATAAGTTATAACATACCATCAAACACGAGTTGGAGTTTTTTCTATGATATTCTCAAACACATGACAGAAAAACATAGTTAAGAAATCCTACTACGATGACGGATCTCCCAACCAACTTCCAGAATTTCCAAGGATCGCATTTAACCCAGGCTTTGCGATAATGGTTTCTTTGTTAACTCTTTAACCCCTGAAAGTGATCAAAGTACAGATTCTCCATAAAATATTACTGCGATATTCTCAATAAAATATTACTTTGTCAATATCATGACAAATTTACGGAGAAAATTGTAGAGAATAGGTATGCCTGATATTAGTTGTTTAAAGATTTTAAACAGTTATGCATGTTTGGTGATCGATTACTACACATTTTTTATTATTTTATTATAATTAGTTCCACCTAGAGTAAAGAAAGACGCTTCATCTTCGTCAGTGATTTGCAAAAGACAGACCTTGTGCTTACTCTCATGTACTGCAGCCAGCGATTTTCCTGTTACTTATTCTTGGACAAAGAATGGTCAGATTCTCCGAACTAATGGTAACGGAACCATATCTCTCAAACCTCGTGATACAAAGGATTATGGGGTGTATGTTTGTAATGTTACAAACAAATATGGTTCAGTAGTTTATAACATAACAGTGTCCGAGTTTCAAAAGACATCAGTGACTGCTCGAAGAACAAAGACAGATAGCAGTGAGTATTTTGACTAGTGGTAACATTATGGCAGATTACGATTTTTTTTTTACGAAGTATGCTGTCACGCAATGCCTTATAAGTTTAGGACGTGATCATCTGCTACATTTATGATGAACTTAGGGAACTAACGTAACAAAACAACAACTTTGCACGTGCATCACATTTCTTTGAAAATTTCTTTGCCGTTATACGACGTGAAACTTCTGAATTTCACGTTTTATGGAGAACTTGAACACAAGAAGTCAACTCCAGGAAAAATCGTTAACATTTGATAATAGCCTGAATTTCAGACATTCCTTCCAGTCGCTCCCTCAGTAATGTGGGAGTCTGAGATTCAGGCTAACAAATCAAAAAAGAGTTTAAGTTTGAAACAGCGCGAATTCACTTTTTTGGTGACGTCTTCGCTGCCGTTGTCGTCGTCTCTGCTTAAGCTTCCTAATACCATGATACAAGAACTCATTCTAGCCGTTAAACTATCAAAACAGTGTGAAGATCTCTATTGTATTGCATTGCATTTCACCCCATTATGTTATATAATTGCTCTTGATCTCAATCACTAGTCATGGCTTTTCTAAACTCTAGCTCGTACCAAAAAAGTCATAGTATTTCAAGCGAGAAGCAAAAAGAAAATTGTAGATCTTATATGGCCGTTGGTTTTACAATCGTCTTATTTTGGGGTCCAGATTGGTCTCCTGGGGGGGTTTAATTCCAGTTTTCAAAGGCAGTCTCATCTTCTAACATAGGAGACCCTCGGAAGCTCTAAGGAATTCAACAGGATCATAACTTGAACTATTAAAGTATTGTGGAATATAGTACTGCTAGCGCTTGTTTACTGAAAATTAAGAAGCCGGCCCATGCCAATCGTGGAGGATTTTGCATTTTCTGTTTTATACATTTTTTGTACTGAAAGGTACAGAAAGCTCGCACTTTAGCTGAAATATGGCTTGACACCACCCCGCATTTAGGACTGCCTGCACGTCACGGCATTTTGCCAAAATCTGTGTAAGGAATGGATAAATAGCTGCCTAAAAAAAAAACAACTGAACAAATGGAGAAAAACAAAAATTTGGTGGCATATAACCCACAGTCCCTCTGTTCTCAAAGGGTTATGAAAAAAAAATTGGATCACCACAGCACGCAGTTATCGTATGGTGCTATAATCATAAAACAAAACTGAATGCAAGGCTGGCACTACGGCAAAGAGCTGATTTATGATAGGCCAATATTTCGGCTAACAAAATAAGCCTTCCTCATGGCCAGAACTATACGGTTACCGAGAGAAAATAGCTTTTAACGGTTCCTAAAATTTTTAATGTAAGACTCTCATAAGTGGTTGACAATTAACTACAATTATTAATACTCGATCCGGTAAATGTTGTACAATAAAAATAGAAATAGAAACAGTTCAATGTTCATTCCTTCGGTTCAGACCGTCTGGTGACAGGGTTTTGCCTCTATCTCCAAGGTGCGCTTCTCTTGCCTTACGGCGTGACAATAATCATATTTGCATTAACAACATAAAAAGGTAGTGATCGTTGATAACTCGCTGATTTTCAAAGCAATCATGAACTTTTTCTTTGCGAACAATGTTTCCCAAGTATAAACTTTATGTCTTTGCTTTACTTTCCAGGTAATAAAGACAATGCCTTCCGTGTCACTGTGCCAGTTTTGTCCTGCGTTGTTGTCCTGCTGTTGATAGTAACTGTGGTATTACTATGGCGACTAAGACATCGTCCAGTGCACGATTCAATACTTGGGCAGCACATGTCAAAGGCAGTTCCATATATGGAACTAGCCGAACTCTCCTGCCAAACTTGATTGTAGAAGAACTTACTGTGCTTTCCAAAAACACGCGATTTCTGAAGTTCAAAAGCGACCTTCACAATTGCATTTTTCGCCGCCGTCAATCATAATTACGATCACAAACAAAGAACCCTGAAACAAAGAAACACACAAAACGGATCGAAATCCACCTATCACAAATCACAAACCATGACCTTTTAAATCCGTTGAAGTAAACTTCTGTTTCCTATTAAAGAGGTCGCTAAGATGATTGAAGGCAGTGGAAAACGCAAACGTCAGTTGGCTTTTGAACTTTAGAATTCGCGTGTTTTTGAAAAGCGCAATAAAAGAACATCTTAAAAAGCAGTGGGCCGACTTCACTCCCTTGTGGAACACCTCCTTTGATCAATAATAATAATGATTTATTTTCGCAATTTTGGGTAATGTTTAGAACAAGTCAGTATATGCACTATAGATCGTTTTCACATGACATCACGGCAGCCAAGTTGGTATATATAACCAACAAACGTGTACAATAAAATCACGTGGGGATTAAACTCTTTTCTCATGTGAGAACTTTCTTTTGCACCAAGAAATTTGCACTTTATTACTTTCTGTTGTCTATTCGAAGAAGTGGGCGTCCCATTAGTGAGAAGCTAAGTCGATCTAGACTATCTGAGTGAAATTTAGCCAATACCAAAGAATGAAGTTGGTGATGAAAGTTTTTATTTGAATATAGGTTCATATTTGTTGGGAATTAATATGACATGCATTGCCAAAATACAGTTACATCTCCACTCTGTAAGCTAGAAGGAAGAAGAACTCAACCGATCAGTGCTGATTCTTAAAACTAACCTTGTGTACCAGCTTTGGCAAATTTTAGGGCCTTGTTGAAGTTGTTGACTTAGGATTCGGAAAATTTTAAGTCTACGTTTTACGGTAATTGTGCCTACAAACATGACACTTGATTCATTGATGTACGCGACGTCGTTCCCAGGGATCTCTCCTACTCCTCGCTCCGTAGTGGCAATTAAAGAAGAACTCTGGAAACGAGCTTGTGCTTGAGCTACGCACTTCGTCGCAATTGTGTAATTCGCCAGCGATACAATAAAGTAAAGAAGGATTGCGAAGTAGTTGTGGTGATATAGAAAGTAGACAATTCGCGGGCAATGAGCAGCAAACAAAAAAAGAAACGGTAGAAATTGGTTAGGGCAGATCGTCGTCATCAACAACAACAAAATGGACCGGCTTCTTCATTCTTTAAATTTTTATCATATCTTCGTGCCCGAAAAGCTACTGGGACTTTTGGAGGAGCAGACCTCAGGTTTCTAAAGACTATCTGAAAGAAGGGAAAATTGCTGCATAAATGGCACTAACTCCAAGATTTTGAATAGAAGATTAGGTAGAATTATGTCCTCAGTTTAGGCATGTGATATAACACGAGGGGATCGGAGAACAACGGCTGCGAATAAAGGATTGATTTATTCATTGTCCAAACAATGAGAGAAAGAGAACAATTTTAAACTGGGACATAAATAATTATTTTAATTCACTTTCTGATATTTGTACAGCGTTTTTTAATCGTTCAATAAATTTAAGTGTCCTGAACACAAAATACCAAGTCAATAAATTCAATAAATTCTTTTCAACTTAATTTTCAAAATTTCAAATTTACATTCCAATTCGAAAGTGAACTTAGTCAATTAATCCCATACATTTCGCATCTCACATGCCTCACGTGTCATAAAGAACTTTCGAACATCTCGTACCAAAACGGATGATCAAGATTTCAACATCTTGCAGGTTTGATCCAAAGAGTAACAGAGGTGTGAGTATAATACCACCTCCACTGAAGGTTCAAATTAGTCTTAAGCGTGTAACACAAACACAATAGAGGAGAAGTGTGACATTACGTTACCTTAGTAGCAAAATTTCTGGATCTCAACAATTTTTCATGGCAGAGACGACCAATTGCAATGTCGAACGAAAAAAGAAACGTGTAGGGTACCGTTTTGTTCCCGAGAGCAATCATTCACAGGCAAGTTATACCTGCCCATTTTTTCGTTGTTTGCTTCTTTAATGCCATAATTGCAGGACCACGGTTTGCAATCTCGTTCGTAGGATTCTCTCGTAACCGTCTCTGAGGAGCGAGAGAGACGTCAGGTAGGAAAGGACTCTGAGGACAAGGTTGCACGGTTTGTTAATGAGATCCAGAAATTCAGCTACCATGGCAACGTGACGTAACGACTTTTACTGGCTCTCTATCTTCTAACCATGGATGGCATCACGTAAAAAGCATAATCTAACCACGACATTCTTTTGAAACAGGAAGCTACCACAATTTATAATTACCCACGGTGTAAAGTCAAAGATTACCTTACTTTCGTGTAAATTTAATTTCCGTGGAAAATAGATTGTGTTGTGATAGATATCTAACAATCTAAAGTAAACTGTTTCCTGTGAGTTACCATCCGGCGATATGTTTTTCAGTGAAATTTATATTCACAAATATTCACAAAAGATCATTAATTGGTGATTTTGGCCCACATACGATGTACACAACTCCATCAATCATCTAGTCTGTAACTGCACACACTGTCTTTAAAGGGCACAACTCTTCAAGACAGTCACGTCACAGTTTACAGTTAATTTTTCCCTTAAGAAAGTCACATTTGTATTAATGTTGCAATTGTTGACTGAAAATTCAGTATACTATAAGTAATAGTAGTGTAATAAATTAATAATTGTTAATAGTAACATTCTACTAGTATTCTACACCAAATCACACCTTCTAGTAGGCAGACCTACTCCCTGTCTACAAACTCCAATAAATAATCCAACGACAACTACCACTAAGAATAATTACATTTTACAAATACCAGCAGATTGTTACTAGAAAATTTATAATAACTGTTGGTTTCAGTTATAATTTGGTTGCAATTTTTGCAATTTATTTAATTTGTAATAACTTATCATCACTTATAGTAAAGCTTTTAAACAATCGAACCTCTCTAAAGTAGCACCTCTCCAGACCTGGCGATGGACAGACCATACATTGATATTCGCCCTTATTTTAAGCTGTCTTTGACGGCCACCCTACCATAACGCAACGGTCACAAAGTTACGTCTCAACAGCCAAAAAAGGACGAACGATGAACAAACGCATGCACTTACTATAAAAAAATATTTTCTTCTAGCTTTTTCTTTTTCTTTTATGGACATAATGGTTGTGTTACGTATTCATAATCTTTGATCAGTAAGTTAAACCCTTTTAACCCTAGACCAAGTCATGGCAAGATGACTTGATATTCTAACTTTTCAATCTGTGGACGAAATCTTATCATACTACCATTCAAATAAAACCTCTTTAGCAACACTTTTGCGTAGCACATTTTCTTATTTTAGAATTTTGCGAAAAAGAAATTTTAATTTTCAGGTGGAATTTTGGCCACCTATCCACCATTTCACCAATCATAACCCTACCTTCGAAATAACGGCCACCCACTTACAACGGTCACTTACATTCGTCTCCAAGATGGTCGCTGTCAAGAGGTTCGACTGTATATCTTGTTTTTGCTAAATTTGTTAAAGTTCGATAATTTGTTTCTTTTGATACTGGTAGAAGTTGGCAATTTCCCCTTTCGCATTTCGCAGAACACACCTTTTCTGCTCGCCAAAATTTTATATAACTATTGTTTCCTACTTCTCCTGGCCATTACGTTCCAAAAGAAATTGAAGACAATGCTAGTGCAAACTTTTGGCGGGCAAGCAAGTTGTGGTATGGGCACTGCGAAAGCGGCAAATAAACGATACAACCAGCAAGTTTTTTATGTTTTAGCTTGATAAGTGGCACAGTTACTTGTACCCCTATTCAGACTCTTTGCTCTTGCTTCCCCTTCTTCTAAAAATCCTGAATGGCGATTTTCGATTCTTGACCTTGTTTTCTTCTTTGATGTGTGCCTCAGGTGAATGTACATTGTTCATTTCACATTCTCTGTTTGACACTGTTCGTCTTGTTAGTAACTCTGAATTACGTTCATTGAATACGGGCGTTGACTCACACCTGGGTCTATTCGTTTCTTTATGACACTTCAGTGTTGGACTTCCACGAGCACTAGAATATGGCAACGGGGTACTTTTCAACATACTTGGCGATGGCGGTTGCATGTAGCTTACAGAATTTTGAGAAACGGCATTTCGTGAGTTACTATTCTGAGGAGAATACCTTCCATCTACAAAGATTTCTTCTAAGCTCAAGTTGGGTGCCACGTCTTGTTCAGAACTTTTCTTACGAAGAAGCCCGCTTGAAGATGCAGTGCTTGAACTTGGGTTGGACGAACCAGAACTTCCATGCTCAACCTTCTCACCCGATACAGAAAGATTTTCATCAGAACCTATCACGGTGAAACTTTTCAGTTCAGATGCTGACCTTTGTTTACTACTGTCCTTAACTTTCCTCTGCTTTGAAGGGTGAAATTGAGTCTGTATGCGTAGAGCACGGTGGAAGAAATTTTTCAGTTTACCAGGAGTATTCTTTAGTAAATCATCAGTTGCCGAGTTGAAAAGTTTATAACGGCCTGCAATCCAAGACTGACGTCGTTTTTCAGCCGTTCGAAAGTTTATTGGTGGAGTGGCTTCAGCACTGACAATGATAGCAGGGGGACTTGCGGCTGGCGGGGAATTAGAGTTCATTTCATTTTGAGATTCATCTGGGGGACTTTCAGGTGTCCTATCATTAAATGTTAAAAGTTCATTTTGTTCAGGTGAATGGGAATTGTTTGGCAGTGGTGCTATTGTCCTCATTGCGTCTTCTATTCCAGGCCGAACTTTATATCCCACGAGGGTAAATTCTAGATGTTTTGCAGTTTCAGTAAATGTTGGTCGTGTTGCAGGTTCCATCTAAAAGAGGAGGAAAAAAACATTAAGGAGAGTAGCTGACAGATGCGTTTTGGAAAACGCTCTAAACGGTTACCTCTTTCCTGTAAACCCATTAAGTACGTCATCAAATATATATATATATATACGAAACCTGTGTTACGATTTTTCCGTAGAAGAGTGCTCGATACGTTAAAGTAGAGCGTGATATATAAATATAGCAAATAGGAAAAAAACTACACTTTCATCCCGACAAGCCTGTTTCGTGATCGCTCACTCTCCCCTGAAGAGTGAGCGATCACGAAACAGGCTTGTCGGAATGAAAGTGTAGTTTTTTTTCCTATTTCCTATATTTATATATATATTCTTTTCATGCAACCACGCGCACACGGAAATCGGGTAAAGGTGGAAAAAATAAAGACCCAGGCTCGCTGCCATATAAGCTTTTATTGCCCAAAGGAATTTGGATAGCACGGCGAAACTCAAAGCAAGGATTTTCAGTCATTATTATGACTTCACTAAAGAGCCAACGAATGAAAAATTTTGAAGCTTTGCGTAGATTATTTCTGTGTAAGGTCAAAAATGTCTAAAATCTTGACAAACGTTGTTTGAACCTTGTTACACAGATGGTGAAAGGTGATACTTAAATGAGATTTTCGTTTGACTGTACAAGCAAAAAGGAGAAAAATTATCAATTGCTGGTTAAATCACCCAAATTTGGTCACTTCCAGGGTATTAGAGTCCCGAAAAAACCTTCAGTTCCTATCAAAAAGAATAGATCACTGCTCAGATACTTCAGGCTTTTGACTGAAGAGACTGTGGGAAGTTTCCCTTTTACCTTTATACGTGAATTTCTGTTTGGCAAGTGATCTTTCTACACGAGTTCCACGGCATTTAGAAAGCAAAAAGGTCTCCTAAACTTTATGCAGGATGCACACAGTGTGCCCTGTAATCGAGATTACTTAACTTCTCCTATCTCTCTCTCCTTTGAAATCCCAATTGACTGAGTAACTTATGTATTTAAAGTAGATCTGAGTACTTTTACGACAATTCCCACCTGGCAGCAGCACAAAGCAGTTTGAAGAAACTCCTTTGGACAGTCACCCGTCATGTGCTGAAACTTCTCTATATCCACACCAAATTTCTGAGCAACAAGAAGAAGACCCAATTAATTGCAAGCTTTGAGAGGGCAGAGGTAAAGAAGTAAAAACATTTTGACAGTTTTGAAAACTGGAATGTCTCTACTACTAGTGCCATAATTGCGGTAAATACAAATACCCGTATTTATTCGAATAAGCGCCCAGCCTCGAATGAGCGCCCATCCTAAAGGCGGAAAAATTTAATAAGCGCCCAGTCTCGAAGTAGCGCCCACCCCTTCCTCCCCCCAATCAAACTCAAATAAGCGCTCACCCCCACCCCACCCACTTGACTGAATAAATTGTAATAAGAGACTTCCCCGAGGACGGAGTTTTCTTCAGAGTATTTTACAGAAACCTTGCTTCGTTACTTCTTCGCGTTTTGTTATTAGCATTTATTGTTTTGTTGCAAAATAAACATACTTCACTTGCTGAAAATGGTGAACATTTAATAAGCGCCCAGCCTCGAATAAGCGACCACTCTCAAGGCCCAAATATTTAATAAGCGCCCAGGGCGGTTAATCGAATAAATACGGTAGAAACTAGTTTTACTCTTGAAGCCTGAGGACAGAACGAAACATTAATCCAAGTATTAACAGGCGTCAGTACAGCGTAACCCCGATTGATTATTTGAAAATTGGATCCATATGAATTGTTCCCGTTATCAGCTTCTTTTCTGCATTCCTACATTGGAATGAGTACTGGATTCACATGAAAGCAAAGAAGTGCAACTATACACCGATGTAAAGGTAGGAATATCGATATTTGAACAAGATATATACCATAAAATTCGGAAAATAAGCCCCAGGGCTTATATTTTTCAAAGGCCCTTTTTGAGGGGCTTATTTTTGGAGGGGCCTATATTCGGAGGTGCTTATCTACGGAGGGAAATTTGCGTTTCAAAATCGATTGGGCCAGCCTTATAACGAAGTAAATTTACCCTTTTTGCTTTGTTTTACTTTGTATTTGAGGGCAACTTTCCAAGTACAAGCTCCCGGAGGCTTATATTTCGAGGGGCGATTTGACGGAGGGTTTTTTTGCGTTACCGGTTTGGGGGGCTTATATTTGGAGGGGCTTATACATGGAGGGGCTTATTTTCGGAATTTTACGGTATCTCGATACTACGTTGTCTTGCGTAATACAGTCGACTATCGATAACTCGAACCAAAACCGATTTCCCCTGGATTTCCTTCATACATTTACATGTACTGTAATTTTACACACGATAGCTCAAACCTGCAGCTAATCGTAGTACTTTTTGTTTCCCTTCTGATCATTTCTACATAATTTTACCTTTAATACATATACATGCACTGGAGGTGCTTGAATAAACGTACCGCTATAAACTGGCGAAAATTACGAAAAGTAACAGAAATAAGCCAAATTTTTGCACACTGTACAATTAACTCATTTATAAAATCTAGGCGGGTATGCTTAACCTGACGAGACGTCATGATGAACTTGTTCCTGTTCAGATTATTTTGTTTTTTTTTGTTTTAAATGATAGAAAAGAATATAAAAATGATTCTAGAAAAGCCACAACTTCCGATATGGGTAAACGTAACAAGTCTTCAAAGAAGTCTTCAGGTTAACAAAAGTTTCTTGCATTAGGGCAGTAACATTTGTTCACAAGGCTTAACAAACAAAATTGTGATTTTTTAAATAGCGAAAACACTAGGAATTCACTAAATCCAGTGGCTCTTCTAAATTATGATATGAACGCACCTGTGTACGGGGTAACTCATCTGGATCAGCTGGAACTCGACCAATTATCTCACACAGAATAATCCCATAGGAAAATACATCAGCCTATGCAGGATAAACAATATCCAAGAGGTCTACCGTAAATCATTTACCCTGTCACTTATAAGCGAATAACATTCACACTAATCTGTCCTGAGAAAACTACAGTTGACACCTATTCTAAGTGGCCACCCTCACAACAGACAAAATCATCAGTAAATCAACGTTAATAAAACGTCTCATTAAGTGTCCATTTGTACACGTACCTCCCAGTGGGAAGCCACCTAAGAAATTGTGACAGTTACGTACAATAAACTAAGAAACATGTTCAACGGGAACCAAAAAGGCCATGAAGTGAAGGACTGTGTCCTAGGTTAAGCAGTCAGTCTAAACAATGAGCCAGTCATACAAGTATGTTAACTCTCTCTAAGTTGGACACCTTTGGAACTGCCACAATGTGTCGGCACCTTTAAGAGATCTTCGTTTTATAGAGAGTCAACTCAAAGGAGAACAGAAAGGCAGATATCAGCTCTAGGTACCCTCCTTATAGAGAGTCAACTTTAGGAGCAAAGAGAGACAGGGATGAACTTTAGGTGTCTGTGTTTTAGCAGAGTGTCCATCTTATAGACAGTCAACTAAAAGGAATGAAGAAATTAGAGCAGGGACCAAATCAACAGTAAAAGTGTCCCTTTAAGAAGTATAAATGTCCCTCTTATAGAAAGTCAACTACAAGGAGTGATGAAAGGTAGGTACCAACCCTAGGTATCCGCTTTAGCCAGGTTTCTGTGTTTTCAGGGACTGTTCGATCAGAGAGGTGGGTTGACTGCACAAGCTAAAGGTAATCTCTTGGTGCCAAAGATTGTTTGTTTACCAACTACTGTACTGTACAGATCAGAAGTGTAACTCCTGAGCTATCTGTACACTGCAATATTGCACCTGTTTTATACTATGGTCCCATACTGGGCAATCACACAGCACTGAAAATCACCCAGTGGCAGTACATGCGACAATTTTTTGTCACAATGGGGAGTACAAAAAATTTTGGTCACCAAAATTGCAGTTTTGATAACTAATATATATTTCAAACTGTTTTTTCTCACCATATTCTATTTGATCAAGCGACCATTTAGTAATTTTAGGTTTCAAAAATTCAGCTTTAAAAAAAAAAGCTTGGAGCACAGTGCATTGGCTCCATTTGAAGATTACACTTGCAATCATGCAAGGACAAAAAATTATACAACAAAGCAATAATAATATTAAGAAGCATTAAAATCAAACTAGCAATGAGTGATGAGTAATGGCAAAATATACATTGTATTATAGTCAACAGAATTGTCTCTCTATGTATTGTATGTACAATGTACTTCTTTCACTTTCTGGCTGCCATGATGATCAATAAGCTTTTTGCAGGACACCAGAGAGAGCCCTATATAAATTTTATGGTAGAAACATTTACCAACCCACAACAACAAAAAAACCTACAAAACTTAGAATTTTTTCAGAACATATATCCGTTGTAATATTTCAGATTCTTGAATTCATGGGATTATTTTATTGTTGTTGTTTTTTCTTCGATAGAATGATAATGAATGATACTGATACTAAAGAAGACAGTGGTTGGGTGAGACCCCTGATGATGCTGGACTGAAGATATTAACAGGATTCTAAGATTTAGAAGGTGTTCACACTGCTGTTTGACTAGAGGGGCACTATGAATCATATGGAGTAACAATTTCATTGTTTTCACCTTGTAAAGATAATTCAAGATTATTGGTGGTATTTTAAAATTAACAACATTCAAGTAATGCCATGCATACACAAATGTATGATGTATTTATAGTTTTGCAACTGTAAGAATGAAGTACTAATAAAAAATTTTTGCAAAGGACTGGCACTCTTGTGAAAAAAAAATTCCGACTTTCCCCTGCTTCTTCCCCTCCCCTCCCCTCAATAATTTCCATTTCCCTAGTATTTTCTAAGTGTTTTTTGCGGGCCTTCATTATTTTCCTTTAACTTTTCAATGATAAAAAATTTTTGCAAAGGACTGGCACTCTTGTGAAAAAAAAATCCGACTTTCCCCTGACTTCTTCCCCTCCCCTCCTGTCAATAATTTCCATTTCCCTAGTATTTGCCAAGTGTTTTTTTGCGGGCCTTCATTTTTTCCTTTAACTTTTTAATGATTTTTAAAAGATATGCATTTTTCATGAGAATTGGAGAATCGAATTTGAACAACTACAAATCAAACGTACGCATTTTTGTTTTTTTTACTTTACCATTTTACTTTAACTTTCTTGTACAGGTATTCTGCATGTAACTGCAAAATTTCTGACTTTTACCAGACCTTGAAAAAAACGTTTTTTCCTGACTTTTCCATCACTGTGGCCCCCTGTTGACTTTTAATTTTCCGTCAGAAAGGTTTAAAATGAGAGTCCCAAAACAGTTAACATGTACATGTATATCAAGAATAGCACCAGCCTACCTTCTCATCATAAGCTTCACCCCGTAAAAGTTCTGGAGCCATGTTGTATGGGGATCCAACAATTGATTGTTCTCTAAAGCACAAGACAAAACTAGAGTTACAACACAATCCAACAAACTGTGTAAAAATTACTGTACATGCAAGACTGTATTCTGTGCTAGCAAATCTAAAACACAGTGGGTACCAACAAAAACAGCCAGCACTCTAGCTGACATCACGACAATACTGAGAATAATGGCAAAATTTAACATTATGGAGAGAACAACATTTCTATCTTGGGATTCTTACTAACAAAAATTTGAAAATTTACGTCACTGTTTCCAGCCAATCTAAAACACTATGAGCCATCAAAACCAGCCAGGACTCAAGCTGACATCATGACAATGCAGAGAATATTGCCAAGATTCAGCATAACATAGGGAACAATATTTTCTACCCTTAGATTCTTACAAAAGGAAAATTTGAAAGTTTATTTTACTGTTTCCAAGGCAACCACAGGGAACAGGTGATAATACCAATAGAAACTAGACACTCTAGGGGTAAAATTATATATTTGTCGTGAATGCTGATACTATAAAAAGAACTGGTTTACTTTACCTAACAGAAGTGGTGTGAATTTTAATTATCATTGAGCTAGGAGGTATGCCATAAATATCTTCTTCTAATGCCGCCCACTCGCCTTGCTAATTTACTTCATTGAAGTAAATTAGCAAGACAACTTTCCAAACTGAGACATCATCCAATGCAAAGTGTTAATTAAAAACTGGGTTTTAAATGGGAATAACAAAAACACTTGGCACCTGAGATTTCCACTAAATGTGCCTCAGTTTTTTAAGGTTTCAAAAGTTCAGCTTAGGTACAAGAAAAATGTAAAATTCACTTTAAAACCATTATGCTAGCGTCAGTCCCCCAAAGGTAACTACTCACAGCTGCAGGTTTTTTTTTTGCAAGGATAATTTTGACAGGGAAATCTTGATTTGGAGTTTTAAAACCTTCATTTTCAGATTTGAAAATACAAAATACAAAATCTGATTTTAAATTTTCATCTTCAATATCATCCAGAACCATTTCAAGGAAGGACTTTAGTGTGGTTTTGTATCTATAATAGAATGTTTCAAAGGAAAACCTGAAGTTTGATTTTAAAATCACATCCAGGTTAAAAGAAAAAAGAAAAAAAGAAAAAGAGTTCTTCACGAAGAATTTTTTGCTACTTTCAGTTAAAAAACTCCCTTTAAGTTTAGTTCATTTTTTCAAATTGTTTTGTGAACTCTCTTTGACTTTTAGCCCTAAGATAAAATTTTATCTTTCTGCTCCATACTCACTTGGGCAATTTCCTTAAGGAAACAAACAAGATTAAGTAAAATACGTATATCCACTATGTTTATTTTTACACAAATATCACGAGAAACTTTCATACTTATTATCACACCAAACTTGTACCTCTTGTGAAAATAAACACTTGTTTCTTCCCAAACTCAGCATAAGTAAGTATGAATTTATGACACTTAATTAAGAAACTACTCACTTAATTTCCGTTGCTAAACCTAAGTCTGCAACAATACCATACCGCCAACCATTCCGTTCTTTTATCAAGCAATTCTGAAATTTGGAAGAAACACGGATAACAAATAAAGAAAACAAAATTGCCAACAAAACTTTTGAAAGGCCTTTAAGTTTTAAGGTTACCTTGGATGTTAAATCTCTATGAATAACTCCTTCCTTGTGGAGGTATCTCATTCCCTCAGCAATATCTTTGGCAAGATAGAGTCGCGTCGACCAATCCAAGTGTATTGAATAGTCTAGCAAAAGTTCTTCTAGTTCTCCGCCATTGACGTACTGAAAAAAAAATATAATACGCTTTCATCAAGGTCGAAAATTGTCATATAACTATGCGCAATGACATGAAACGTGTCCAATTTGTGCATCACACCATGTTTACCATGGAGAACAGGGGTATTAAAAATAATTTTTTGTATTAAAACTCAGACAGCTCGAAAATGAAAGCACTATATACCTCTATTAGAAGATGCATTCTACTGTCAGCTAGGCAAACACCAAGAAATCTGAGGAAAAAATTATTTCAGTGTGTGAGTTCATGCAAAATCTCATCGACAAGATTTAGCAATGTAGGTTTACAGCCAAACAACTGAAACGAGCGGAGGAGGAAACGGTTATCAGCAAATTCACCTTATGATATTTGGGTGAGACAGATGGCTCATTAACTTGATTTCCTCTAACATTGTACAGCATTCGAATTCCACATTAGGTTTGTTCATCTTTAAAACCATAACTTCCCCTGTTTTGCGATGCTGAACCTAACAAACGAAAACAAAACAAGCTACGGTGACACTGGGTCTCGTGACGAATTTCAAACCGATCCAAACTACATCCAAGTTCTAAATATGTGTAGTTCCAAACACATCCTTACCTTAAATATATCTCCATAAAACCCATTAGCAATTTTATTGCTTATAAAATCCTCATAGCGGTAAATAAGCGAATTGGGAATTGTCGATGGTATTAAATTCCCCAACATAGGGCAACGATCTCTTGTTGTTTCCTCGGTTCGCGAGTCCTTGTTACAACGGCCCTTGTCGCCATCCCCTTCAGCTACAATATCCATAAGAACCACCATACGTATTTCCTTAATACGACGGCGATAAAATCCCTTTTTTCCAACCAGAATGTAGTTGAAAACACCACATTTCCTGAACACATCCAACTAGTCCTTTCCTGTACACGACAATTGTGTTACTCTAAAGTTGTAAACGACCTCTGGCCTCATGGGATTGGTCAGAAATACTCGTCTCTGATTGGTTGACCTTCAAACCTTATGGGAGTCTAGCTGATAGGCGCTGTCAGTCACTGTCAATTTCAATTGTTGTCGGTCAGTAGCTCGAAAAGTCACACCACAACATGGACAGCTTATTTTTAGAGCGTGCTCAATGAACTGAAACTTGTAAACAACAAACGCGTGGGAACTAAGCACTCTATTGTCTTTAGGCCTTCTTTAAAATCGACTTTCAAGAGGATTTGAAACTGATAAAGGAGAAATAGCAAAACCATTTTAAACATTCCACGAAAGAATAACTAAAACATTTTTATTTTTGGTCTCCAAGAAAATAGTCTCACGCTTTAAGCTGAGAATATTTGGTTTTTTTTTCCGACGTCACCAATGACGTAAAAAGATCTGGGGCAGGTAGGTTAGGGGTATTATTTTAAAATTCTGTGCTATTATCCATCTTCGAAGGAAACATTTTCCAAAAAAATCGAATGAAGATTTGGAAAGAAAAACTCAACGAGGGTTAAATACCTCAAAAAAAATGCAAAAAAAGCCGAAAAAGAATCAAACTCTGGTCACGAAGCAATAAACCAAAATGATTTATTCTGAGCCCGCTCAAGAGCCCCCTCATTATGGCTCTTGGCCCGCTGCAATATGTCACCAATATTCATCATTCTGTATGCAATGATATCCACCCTGCGTACCACAAACTCAAGCTTTCAGTGTTCCGATTAATTATAAAAAATCTACTTTATAGGGGTCGAAGACTGATATTTACATTTCAGTTCTCCTTCAGTTTATCAGAAATATATGTAAAAACTTTTTCTTTCACAAACAGTTTTCTTTCACAATTTTACCGCACAACACAAACTCACACAACCAAGAATACGATATGTCAATTTTCCAAATAACAGGGTTGTAAAAATAGACTCAGGGAATAGTTTCCTTGAGATAAGCAAGTACTTGTATTGCATGTCTGGATTCGTTCTAACAGGGTCGTAACATGGTATATCCGGGCCCCATTGATCCCTATTTTCTTGCCGTTATTTGATCCCTGAGCCCCATTTCCCCCAAAATTTTGATCCCTGAGCCCTGATAAAAAAATTGACCCCATCCATGTTTTACACAAAATTTTAACTTAGACAACTTTGTTTATTTCCAAATATAGAATACAGAACATGCTTAAATGGGCTGATGAGAAAAAAAAAAGTTAACTTTAATTTTTAGTGCAAGTTGTAGGTTCTATCAGAGCTTCAAAGATCAATATGAGTCGACTTCTTTTTGTGCATTATTCTATTTAAAACTCTTGAAATATAATGTTTGGCGATACTAGACAAATGATAAAACCTGATTTCCTTGAACGGGAGCTTTAGTAAGATACAGAATGTAAGTTTTTGTTAATTTATACATTAAAAATAGTCCACTTCCCTTTAAGTATCGTACATCTTGAAAGATCTTGCTGCGGAAACTTGATTTTTTCAGATGCAACGTTCATCCAAAGTATTTTCAATGTTTATTTTCAGAGTTGCTCATACGAGCGGGGCCACCCGGAGGTTTATAAGCCAATCACAAGAAAGCATTGGATTCAAAATTCGAATAAATACATTTTTAGTCAAACAGCAAACACAGGTAGCGCTGGTTGGTCCCCAGTTGAATTAACGGCTCTGTAAGAGCAATATAATATATATAGAACTAAAGTTTTCCTTTATCTTTCCAATTCCTGTCCCGTACGAATATCTGCTTGCCCGGAGAACTTGTCCAGTTAATCAATGTCCTATCTTTGTGGGTCACAGATGTTTTATTTCCAAAGAGACTCTTGCAACCAAAAGTTTCATGTCGCTCGCGAAACTGGTCTACATTATTGATATTGTTAAAGTGTAATCGTTTGTCTCACGATTCAGTCACTTGATGACGTAGAGCGCGACGTTTCAACTGCGTACTTCAAGTGTTCATTAGAAAAAGCAACACTTAAAGGCCTTGCCTTGGTAGTCTTTGTCGACTGGTCGCAAGTGAACTTACATGACTCCAAGCTCTGGTTCTGGTTGGTCGATTATATTAGCTGCTGAGATTGGTGCATTACTCCGTTGTTTGTATGGGCTTTTGCCTCACGGGTCCGCTGTCGTAAGGATCTCCTATTGCTGTGTTTCTTGATTAAGGGCAACCAAGCTTCTGGACTTTCTATTCCGCTATCCCTGTTAATGTTGTTAGAGTGTAGTCTTATGTAAATTTCCTCTTTCACTCTGTGTGTATTACAGTGAGGATCACGATCAATTACCAATAGCAAAATACCTGCTTTACATGAAGTAGAAAAATTAAATGATGCAAGCCACAGGTTCAGTTTAACAGCTTTTCTGTGTCAAGCCCATTTATGGCTTTTCCTGGCTTAATAACCATTGTAGATTGTCCGAGGACATATCTGGTTGTAGGTCTTCCAGACCTACTCCTTCCAGCTTCGAATCTAAGTGGCTCTGAAAAGTTGTCTGCCTGAGCTTGCTCCCCTTCCTCTTCGTCACTACCTGACACAGGTGAATCATCTGATCTAACTGACCCCTGGAGCAATGCAACGAGGCGTTGCTCTTCAAGGCAGCTCAAACAGAAGTTATTTCCATGCATCTTTTATTATTTGAACTTTCCGATGATACACTCAGGTGAATTTTTATCGTCACGGTGCCCAGTCTGGTATACACGGGGATCTTCTTCTGACTCTTCCAGCCATCTCAAACTCATTCTTCCAGGAATGCGTCACTCGGCGTTATGGTGGAGATCTTTTAAAGGAACTGCAAGGAAGAAAGGAATGATATAACTTTGTAATTTGCTTGAGAGCAACTACGTCGCCTTTTGAATGGATAATCTCATATTCTTCAGCTGCGTCTTGAACTGTAGTTTGTCCTTCACTCCCTTGAACCTCTTTCAGCAGATCGACTTCTCCATGTGCCGACGCATTCCATCTGAACATACTCAGAGCAAGTGCAAGTGTATCAGCTCGTTTTTTTGGTCTTCCCTCTCATTCCTTGTTGTCGTACACCCCCGCGTACACCCCGTTCGAATTCTTTCGCAAAGCTCTGCAATGCCTTCCTTTGTCGCTCCTTTCCCTCCGGGCTCGTTTCCTCATCCATATCCTCCTTAAGGTTTACTCTTGCCGTGCGACTTTCAAAGCCATTCCGGTGCCTTCGGACCCAGCTTTCTCTGTGTGTAATGGCTTTGAGGACCACTATAAAAGATATTCGAGGATTGGTGGAGCCTCTCTATTGATTCTAAAAGGCAGCTGGGCCGCCGCGATGCGTGGTCGTTTTGAGCGGGTGTTCTCACTCCACTAAAAAATTCAGGCTCCAAATCGAAGGCGGTGATACATTTACCTTTCGGGGCCAACCATTACATAAGCCGAGGCCGAATAGCCCAAAGGGTCGAAAAAATTCTTGTAGATCGATATTGTCACTAAAGTCTGTAAATTTTGTGCAAACCAAAATAGCCACTGCACGAATGAGGTCTGAAAAAATGTTGCATGAAAAAAATAACCCATCCCCGGATCAAAAATCAAATATTGGGCCCATTACTGGTGGCCCTTCATGCTGAGTGCTATAATATATTAAATTCCTGCAGACTCTGCTACTTTTACCTAATATGCAACATTCCTTTCACCAATTCAACGTTTATTTTATTAAAAAAAATAGGTCCGCATTGCGTACATGTGTCTAGTGCTGGGTAATTGAGTAATGTGTATATGGTTATATAGGATTGCGTTAGACTTCGTGAATGCAATTAGGATTTATCCGCCATAGAGTACAGGAGTGGAGGCTGGGGTATAATGTGAAGCTCCAACAGTCTAGCAAAGAAATATGGCTAGAACTAACAAACGTGTTGAAGGTGATATAGAAAAGTAAGGAGGAGTAGAAATTGGTCTGCTTTGGGGTGTGGTTGAAATTATTGCAGACATTTTTTTGGAAGTAGTGCTAACTATTATTAACATCACAGTGGTAACGATGAAATGAATTGAACACAACTTTATTTCAAGGCAACTAGTTGTAAATGAGAAATACAAAAAGTTATCAAGAGGTCTCAATCCCAGCTGACCTAATCGATAGTTTAACAATAAGGTGGAACCTACTGACAAGTAGTTTGATCACAGACATTTTGCTCAGGGCCTGGATTTAACTCGATATCACCGGACATCAAAAGCTTCATTTTCGATACACAATATCTTTTGGTACAGCTACATGATTTCACTGTCTTGTGCTTAACTAAACAATGCATACTTGCTTGTTTACTATTTTGTAACAACTTGTTTGCTGCCCATCTTTTAAGATTTGCAAAGTCGGTAAAAAAACAGTCACATCTGTGTACGTATGTTACATACCATAACTTATAGTCAGTCGCTAAACTTGAACAAACTTGAAGATTTAGGAGTAAATTTCCTGAAAATGCGCGTCAGCTTGCGACTAGCTTTTCTCTTTTTCATGGAGCTCACAATCTTTTTTATCGGTAATCTTGACGGCTGTCGGTCTCTATGACGTTTTTCCTGTACTTTGCAATGTCTATCAAATTCTCTCTCACACGGCGAGCACACCTCCTCATCAGTGCTAACCATCGCATGGAAAGATTCAGTAAAAACGACCCTTGGGTGATATTTAACAAGAGTACGAGTTCTAGTATGACTTTGTCGGAAGGAAATCGCCACAGCTTTCGTATATGTTTGGCTAATGAAAGGTATTTTCACATTAAATCCTTCAGCGGCGAAAGATTTTCTGCCATTTACATTTCCCTGACAGGGCTTATTTAATCCCTCAGCGGGCTTTGTTATCCCCAAAAGGGGCTCAATATTTCCCATAACGGGCTTTTCTTTCCCCAAATGTGGC